TATAATCTTTCTATCTCCTCCCCTCCTCACACCCGGTCTGGCTTACAGTTTCGTTCCAAGACTAGCCCTCCCCAACCTGCCCAACAATTTCCTCTTAGAGAGGTGGCTGGAGCTGAAGGCATAGTCAGGGTACGTGTGCCTTTTTCTCTATCAGACCTTTCCCAGATCAGCCAGCGTTTAGGCTCTTTCTCATCAGACCCCACTAAACATACACAGGAATTCCGATATCTAACTCTGTCCTACAATTTAACCTGGAGTGACTTAAATGTCATCCTAACTTCTACCCTCTCCCCAGATGAATGGGTAAGAGTTTTTTCTCTAGCCCAACCTCACGCCGATAACCGCCGGCTTCATGAGCCAGACCTCCAGGAAGGCATTAGAGCAGTTCCCCGAGAAGAACCCCAGTGGAACTATCAGGTATCAGGCGAGATTACATGGTTTCCTGCCTAGTTGAAGGGCTTAAAAGGCAGCTTACAAAGCTGTTAATTATGACAAACTTAAAGAAATTACCCAAGGTAAAGAACCCAGCCCAGTTCACAGCCTGCTTAGCAGCAACCCTTAGACGCTTTACCGCCCTAGACCCAGAGGGGCTAGAAGGCTGCCTTATTCTTAATATGCATTTTATCACCCAGTAAACTCCCGACATTAGAAAAAGCTCCAAAAATTAGATTCCAGCCCTCAAACCCCACAACAGGACCTAATTAACCTCACCTTCCATGTGTACAATAATAGAGAAGAGTTGCAATTACTTGCCTCCGCTGTGAGAGAAACCCCGCCATATCTCCAGCACACAAAAACTTCAAAATGCCTAAGCCACAGAGGTCAGGCATTCCTTCAGGTCTTCCTCCCCCAGGATCTTGCTTCAAGTGCTGGAAACCTGGCTACTGGGCCAAGGAATGCCCGCAGCCTGGGATTCCTCCTAAGCCGTGTCCCATCTGTGCAGGACCCCGCTGGAAATTGGACTGCCCAACTGGCCCAGGGTTCTGAATGACTGCTTCCCAAATCTTCTTGGCTTAGCGGCTGAAGACTGACACTGCCCGACCGCCTTGGAAGCCTCCTGGACCATCACAGACGCTTTGGGTAACTCTTACAGTGTAGTTACAGTCCATCCCCTTCTTAGTTAATACGGAGGCTACTAACTCCACATGACCTTCTTTACAAAGGCCTTTTTCCTTTGCCTCCATAGCTGTTGTGGGTATTGATGGCCAGGCTTCTAAACCTCTTAAAACTCCCCAACTCTGGTGCCAACTTAGACAATGCACTTTTAAGCACTCCTTTTTAGTTATCCCCATCTGCCCAGTTCCCTTATTAGATCGACACATTTTAACTAAATTATCTGCTTCCCTGACTATTCCTGGGCTACAGCCATACCTCATTGCCACCTTTTCCCCTAGTTCAAAACCTCCTTCGCATCCTCTCCTTGTATCTCCCCACCTGAATCCACAAGTGTATAGGATACCTCTACTCCCTCCTTGGCGACAAATGATGTACCCCTTACCATCCCATTAAAACCTATCACTCTTACCTCGCTCAACACCAGTATCCCATCCCACAGCATGCTTTAAAAGGATTAAAGACTGTTATCACTCGCCTGATACAGCATGGGCTTCTAAAACATATAAACTCTCCTTACAATTCCCCCATTTTACCTGTCCAAAAACCAGACAAGTCTTACAGGTTAGTTCAGGATCTGCGCCTTATCAACCAAATTGTTTTGCCTATCCACCCCATGGTGCCAAACACATATACTCTCCTATTCTCAATACCTCCCTCCACAACCCCTCCATAACCCATTATTCTGTTCCGGATCTCAAACATGCTTTCTTTACTATTCCTTGCACCCTTCATCCCAGCCTCTCTTTGCTTTCACTTGGACTGGGTACTCCCAATTCTTAGTCCTTTAATACCTGTTTTTCTCCTTCTCTTATTCAGACCTTGTATCTTTCATTTAGTTTCTCAATCCATACAAAATCGCATCCAGGCCATCACCAATAATTCTATATGACAAATGCTCCTTCTAACAACCCCACAATATCACCCCTTACCCCAAAATCTTTCTTCAGTTGAATCTCTCCCACTGTAGGTTCCCATGCCTCCCCTAATCCTGCTTGAAGCAGCTCTGAGAAACATTGCCCATTATCTCTCCATACCACCCCCAAAAATTTTCACCGCCCCAACACTTTACCACTATTTTGTTTCATTTTTCTTATTAATATAAGACAGGAATGTCAGGCCTCTTCACGTGGACGTGTGAGACAGTAAGTAAGGGGATAGGCAGGGAGGGATGAAATGTACACTGAAAATTCAAAGCCACGAGCTAAACATCACAGAGGTTTGCTGCTTCAATTCATGAAGGTAGTCTAAAATAACTCATTTTGATAATCTAGTTTAAAAGTTATACTTTTAAATATAACAAAGTTTTCATCAGGAAAATGTATGCATTCTAAACATATATATCTACTGACACACCTCACAATAAATGAAGCAAAATTGACAGAATTATAAGGAGAAGTACAAAAAAATCCATATAGTGGGAGATTTAACACGTCTTATTTGTTACCTGACAGATCAAATAGACAAAAAAATAACTAAGGCTACAGAAATCTGAATAGAACTAACAAGACTGATTTTACAGGGAAATTTGCACACCCTCAAACTGTAGGACACATATTGTTTTCAAGGACATATGAGACATAATTACTACAAATCCCAATATAAAGGCCACATCCCAGACCAATGAGATCAGCATCTCTGGAGAGGGGACCCAGACATCCACATTCTTAAAGATCTATAGGTGATTCCAATATGTAGCCAAGGTTGCAAATCACTGACACAGAGAGTCATTTCTAACCCTCAGTGCTTCTATCAGAAAGTAAGGAAGGATGAAAATTAATAATCTGGAAAGTCTATCTTAGGTTAGAACAGAACAGCCAATAAAGCCCAAAAAATTAACGGGAAGAAGAAAAAAGAGCAAATAATGACATAGAAAACAAACATACAATACAGATGACCAAGAAAACTGAAAGCATATCTTATACCTTCCCCAAAAAACAACTCCAGGCAAACCAAAAAGTTAAATGTGAAAAGCAAAACTATAAACACTTTAGAAGACACTATATGAGAATATATCTATCATTTTGGTATGCAAAGAATGTTTAAAACCAGAAACAAAATCATAAACCATAAAGAAAAAGGTTGACAAATTTGACTGTATTAAGAATCTTGTTAAATCAATATTTGCAACATACATAACTGAAATATATGAAGAACTCCTATGAATCAGAAAAAATTGACAACCCAAAAGAAAATGGGCAAAAGGCACTTCAGTGGAGTGGAATCCAAATGCCCAATAGGCATATGAAAATTTGCTCAACCTCACTCATAATGAGTGAGAGGCAAAGTAAAAGCACAATGAAATATGACTTCCTAGCTTCCTCAGCCTGTGCTCTCCCTCCCGTCCTCAAGGGTCTGCTCCTTGCCTCTTCCACATAAGTACTGTCCTGCTACTCCAGTGATTTTTTTCCCACTCTATCAGTTACTGACTTTTCCTCCTGTATGTTCAACCTCTCCCTTTCTTTTGACCCCTTCACAGCATAAAAAATTGTTCAAGTATTTCCCATAAATTAAAAAAAAATCACTCCCTTGATACCGTATCTCGTTTTCCAAATTTACGTACCCAAGCTTATTAACCTTCACAATCACCAGCCATACGTTGAACGACTGCCTTATTATACTGCTACCCTTCAGAGCCCAAATTCTCAGGATTGTGTTTGATCCTCGTTGTCTCCATCACAGGCTTCCATCCATCAGGCCACCAAAATGCTCCCTCTCACCATGTCACTGCACACACATGGCCGCCCTCCCTGACACTACTTCCAAGCTGCTGTGCTACGAGCTTCTCCTCTTTCCCCACCTCACAGACATTTCTTCTCAATATTTTTCTGCTGCTTCTTCCTAAAATGTCCCTGGAGTGCTCTTCTCAGCCTCCTTCTCCTCTACTCTTGTTCTGAACATTCTTCCTTTGTGATCTTATTCCTCTTACTTTTCATTTCTACTTATGAGCTAAGGATTTCTGAATCTGTATCTCCAGTATGTGCTTGATGCACAGTAGGTACTTTAAATAATGAAGCTTCCTATTAAAAAGGGTCAGCACAGAGTGTGATTAAATGCCTAGTTTTAGCATTAAGACATGGCATGTTTAAGCAAAAGTACTTACGATTAAAAAAAAAAAAAACTGGGTATAGCATGAGTTTATTCAATACCAGATTTTGCTAAGAGAGAAAAATTAGAACAATTTAAAAACAAATGGTTGGCAAGAATCTTTGCCTATGGAACAATAGTACTTATAAGATAAAAGTCTTTATACATTGATAGAACCCACTGTATTTTTCATTTTTTAGGAACTGTGTGCAATGATTTAGAGTAGGGGTTGGTAAGCCTGACCTGCAGGCCAAATTTGGCCCACCATCTGTTTTTGCAGATAAAGTTTTATTGGAACATATACATATCCATTCAATTACCCATTGTCTGTGGCTGTTTTCATGCTACAATGGCAGGACTGGGCAGTTGCAACAAAGATTGTATGGCCCACATAGCCTAAACTATTTGCTGTCTTGTCATTTCTATTAAAAGTGTGCCAGTCTTGACAAAGATCAGGCCTTTCTATTGTTAACATATCCCTTTAAAATGATAAGTGGTATAAGTTATATTTTCTAAGAGTAAGGATAAATCCTGGATGTGAGAAAGCCCTCCCCATCCAGGTATGAAAGCAGGTGGGTTTTATGGTAAATAAGAACTACTTTTCTCTGAGACTTAGTTGAAAGAACTACATTGATATCACTAAATGTATTACTTTAACTGGCTTAAATAATCAGAGGCAGAAAACAGTTGTAATATTTGGTAAGATCTCATCCCCTAGGATGACTTAAGTAGGGGGAATGTGGATATTGAAGCTTCCAGAAAAGCAACACAATCAACACGAAATCCACTGGGATTCTTGCCTTGTCTGCAGGTGTTAACCTGGCCCAGGGCTTGTCTGCTCGGCGGTCATAGTCGGGAGAATCTGTGACTTCTACATACTCGTTAAATCGCAGGATCCTTCGAGCTTGTAGCTCTGCCACTGTGGGTCTCAGGCTGAGCTGCAGGAGGACAAGGAAAAAGGCAGAGTTCAGTAAACCGCTTACAGCCTCATGGTGGCAAGTATTCTATAGAGAACACTTCAAAGTTATGGTTAAATAAGGTCACTTTCAGGCATCAAAAAAAAAAAAAAAAAAGGCAACAGCATCTTGGGAATTTCTAATGAGAACTAGAAAGCCGTGTGCCCTAATTTTTGAGACTATAAAAAATCATCGTTTCAGATAGGTCACAGTCTTTGGCAACTACCTGCATTATGCTATTTTCCCCAACTTGCCTGGCACTGTGATAAAGGTCTATCATCCCTGACGCAAGGAATATGCAATGCACAGACACAATAGTAACCCAGATACAGAATGGCTGGTTTCGTGATTGAATTATCAAGGCAAAAGCCATGGATTGAATTATCAAGGCAAAACTTCTAAAAGTTTTTCTAAAAAACTTTTAGAAATGGGAATAAAAGCCTGTTCCTATAATATTAAACCCATACACTCAGAAATGTACAAAGTTATGACATACAGGCCAGGTGCCGTGGCTCACGCCTGTAATCCCAGCACTTTGGGAGGCCGAGGCAGGTGGATCACGAGGTCAGGAGATCGAGACCATCCTGGCTAACACAGTGAAACCCCATCTCTACTAAAAATACAAAAAAAAAATTAGCTGGGCGTGGTGGCAGTCACCTGTAGTCCCAGCTACTCGGGAGGCTGAGGCAGGAGAACGGTGTGAACCCAGGAGACGGAGCTTGCAGTGAGCCAAGATAGTGCCACTGCACGCCAGCCTGGGTGACACAGCAAGACTCTGTCTCAAAAGAAAAGTTATGACATAGAAAGGGTCCAATAAAGGGTATGCCTACAGCACAGCTGTCCTTAAGACATTCATAATAAGGACAAGGCCCCAATAGGACACCTGCCCTTGGCCAGAAAAACCAATATACAGGAATGGGGAGGGGAGAGTTGATGGAGAACTGTACTTCCTTGAGACCATCACTGCTTAAAATCAACTCCAACCTTCAAGATACTTCTAACAACTTGGGTCCCTCCTCCTTGTGGTCTTCGCCAGATTCAAATTTGTAATTATATTGCTTTTCTCTCTGGTTCCTTTCTCAAACCGAAGAATAAGATTCTGACAGGTGAAAGAAAGCTGGCCCCCTGGTAAACAGGCATTATCTACTCTCTGTGACAGAGGTTCACTCCCATTTTGGTTTTTCTCAGCTGGGCGGTATCACAGTTATCTCCAGAGAGGTAGACTTAGACCTCTATTGTAGTCATAAGGCCCATTTTCATATATTTTCTCTCTCATATATACTCTGTATACAGCCAGACTACCCATCATCTAAGTGGTCCTCTTTGGAGATACTGCTTATTTATTTTTTTATTTGAACAGAATGGGGGGTCTCTCTATGTTGCCCAGGATGGTCTTGAACTCTTGGGCTCAAGCAATTCTCCCATCCCAGTCTCCCAAAGTGCTGGGGTTGCAGGCATAAGCCACAACACCTGTCCAGAGATACTCCTTATTTTGCACTGGGTCTACATTCTGTAGTCATTAACAGCCCTTTCCTGGGCCTCAGTTTCCTTCTGAACTAAGCCAATATTCTAACATTCAAAGCACTCAAGGACTTTTAGAAGGCCTAGGCCCATACCCTGAGCCCACTTGAGCAGGGATGTGCCAACTATGGCTCCCTCTATCTTCATAGAGCCCTGGTAGGCAATGGACAAGAGAGAGAATAATCTAAGTGATCTGTTATAGTCTAGTTGCTGTCCAATCTATATTGCTATCTTCTTGCTGTCACTTTGGGGCAGGTGGAAATAAGGAGGTAGAGAAGCCCTTGCTCCCAAGAACTGGCTAGAAGGAAAGTGACCAGTGGCAACATAGGTTAGAAATTCTCCATCCAGTCTTGTCCTCAGGACTGTCCCAGTCATGGGGTAGCTACCAAATGCTACGGGCTGACCTGCATCTACACCATGGAGCTATGTATGGTGGAAGCAAGTGGGTGCAGAGGGTAAGGGCAGGCACTGCTGCCTCATGGAGGGGCCCAGCTGGATTGAGAAAGATCATGTGTATCACAAGAGTGCCCAGGGCAATGAGGAGGGGTGATTGCTTGTCTACAGATGGTAACTTAAGGGCCATTGAAGACTATAGTCATCCCTGAAACGGAGTCAATAGTCTTTCAGTTTGATCATTATTTGACATTAATGGGCTTTGAGAAAAAAAAAAAAGATACAGTTTGGCTGTGTCCTCACCCAAATCTCAACTTGAATTGTATCTCCAGAATTCCCACATGTTGTGGGAGGGACCCAGGGGAAGGTAATTGAATCATGAGGGCTGGTCTTTCCCATGCTATTCTCATGACAGTGAATGAGTCTCCTGAGATCTGATGGGTTTATCAGGGGTTTCTGCTTTTGCTTTCTCCTCATTTTATCTTGCTGCCACCATCTAAGAAATGCCTTTTGTCTCCTGTCAGGATTCTGAGGCCTCCCCAGCCATATGGAACTGTAAGTCCAGTTAAACCTCTTTTTCTTCCCAGTCTAGGGTATGTCTTTATCAGCAGCAAGAAAACAGACTAATACAGTAAAGTGGTCCCAGGAGTGGGGTGTTCCTAAAAAGATACTCAAAACTGTGCAATCAACTTTGGAACTGGGTAACAGGCAGATGTTGGAACAGTTTGGAAGGCTCAGAGGAAGACAGGAAAACGTGGGAAAGTTTGGAACCTCCTAGAGACTTGTTGAATGGCTTTGACAAAAATGCTGATAGCAATACGGACAATAAGGTCCAGGCTGAGGTGGTCTCAGATGGAGATGAGGAACTGGTTGAGAACTGGGGCAAAGGTGACTCTTATTATGTTTCAGCAAAGAGAATGGTGGCATTTTGCCCCTGCCCTAGAGATTTGTGAAACTTTGAATTTGAGAGAGATGATTTAGGGTATCTGGCAGAAGAAATTTCTAAACAGCAAAGCATTCAAAAGGTGACTTGGATGCTGTTAAAAGCATTCCATTTTAAAAGGGAAATAGAGCATAAAAGTTCAGAAAATTTGCGGCCTGAAGATGCAGTAGAAAAAAACCATTTTCTGAGGAGAAATTCAAGCTGACTACAGAAATTTGCATAAGTAGCAAGGAGGCTAATGTTAATCCTGAAGACCATGGGGGAAAATGTCTCCAGGCCATGTCAGAGACCTTCATGACAGCTCCTCCCATCACAGGCCTCAAGGCCCAGGCGGAAAAAGTGGTTTTGTGGGAAGGGCCCCGGGTCCTGTGCTGTGTTCAGTCTAGGGACTTGGTGCCCTGTGCCCCAGACACTCTACCTGTGACTGAAAGGGGCAAATGTAGAGCTCGGGCTGTGGCTTCAGAGAGTGGAAACCCTAAGCCTTGGCAGCTTCCACATGGTGTTGAGCTTGCGGGTGAACAGAAGTCAGGAATTGAGGTTTGGGAACCTCTGCCTAGATTTCAGAAGAGGTATGGAAATGCCTGAATGTCCAGGCCAAAGTTTGCCATGGGCAGGGTTAGGGGGGCCTCATGGAGAACCTCTGCTAGGCAGTGCAGAAGGGAAATGTGGGTTTGGAACCCCCACACAGAGTCCCTACTGGGGCACTGCCTAGTCGAGCTGTGCAAAGAGGGTCATTGTCCTCCAGACCCCAGAATGGTAGATCTGCTGACAGCATGTACCATGCATCTAGAAAAGCTGCAGACACTCAACGCTAGCCTGTGAAAGCAGCCAAGAGGGAGGCTGTACCGTGCAAAGCCACAGGGGTGGTGCTGCCCAAGACCATGGGAACCCACCTCTTGTATTAGTGTGACTTGGATGTGAAACCTGGATTCAAAGGATAATTTTGGAGCTTAAAAATTTGGCTGCCCCACTGGATTTCAGACTTTCCATGGGCCCTGCAACCCCTTTGTTTTGGTCAATTTGGAACAGCTCCCATTTGGAACAGCTGTATTTACCCAATACCTGTACCCCCATTTTATCTAGGAAGTAATTAACTTGCTTTTGATTTTACAGGCTTATGGGTGGAAGGGATTTACCTTGTCTCAGATGAGATTTTGGATTGTGGACTTTTGGGTTAACGCTGAGATGAGTTAAGACTTTGGTGGACTGTTGGGAAGGCATGATCGGTTTTGAAATGTGAGGACGTGAGATTTGGAGGGGCCGGGGCAGAATGATATGGTTTGGCTGTGTCCCCACCCAAATCTGAACTTGAATTGTATCTCCCAGAATTCTCCCGTGTTGTGGGAGGGACCCAGGAGAAGGTAATTGGATCATGGGGCTTGGTCTTTCCCATTCTATTCTTGTGATAGTCAAAATGTCTCACAAGACCTGATATGTTTATCAGGAGTTTCCCGTTTTGCTTCCTCCTCATTTTCTCTTGCCGCTGCCACGTTAGAAGTGCCTTTCGCCTCCTGCCATGATTCTGAGGCCTCACCAGTCATGTGGAACTATAAGTCCAATTAAATCTCTTTTTCTTCCCAGTCTCAGGTATGTCTTTATCAGCAGTGTGAAAATGGACTAATACAATGGATAAATAAAGGATCTTTTTCCTTGAAAAACAGAACCACTTTCGACATAGTCCCATAGCTTTTCTGTGGGAATGAAGCATTGCCACCTCCATCTGCCTTGGAATGCTTTTGTTGAAGACTCCCCGATTCCAGCCTACAAAAATGTGGGTCAGGTCACACTTCATGGAGATGTCACATTTTAGTCACTTGATCCATTTTTAGGTGCATAGGGTATGCCTGAAGAATTATTAGAAGGATTTATAATGAAATATAAACTCTGATGGTGCTTGATTTTTTCAAAGGCTATTATTTTTTTAACACAGAAAAAAGTGATGGCTCTAACATCAGATTTATATATTCATAAATAAGTGGCAACAATTGTCTGAGTTTGGCAGGTAAGACATTTGTCAATCTGGGTAGCACTGTAGCAGGCAGGCTGGATATCAAGTTCACTTAATAAATTACTTACCCAGCTGTGATGTGGAATAGTGGGAAATGTTCAGGAGTAACGAAATATTTATTTGTTTAATATTTCCAACACTAAATGGAAAGTGTGAGCATTTTAAGAAACAATTTTAATTATAATTAAAAATTTTTCCACTTCTTTTTTCTTTTTCTTTTATCATTGCTCTAATCAAGCAAGATCGAGATTAATTTTTAATTAATTCTTTTTTTTTTTTTTGAAACAAGGCCTCACTCCAGGCTGGTCTTGACCTCCTGGGCTCAAGCAATCCTCCTGACTCAGCTTCCAAGTAGCTGGGACTATGGGTGCAAGACACTGCACCTGACTCAAAACAATTTTTTAAAATAGAAATATATGCATTGAAATATTAATAATGGCTATCTCTGAATGAAAGACATACGATTTTATTTTTTTCTTTTTTTGTATCTTTAAAAATTTTCACACAGAGTACATATTTTCATAGAGTAAATGCAATTTAAAACCCTTGTTAATTTTTCAAAATTAACACAACATGCAATTATAAACATCATTTCTAGCACGTGCATTATATTTATTTATTTTATTTAGTTACTTTTTTTGAGACAGAGTCTCATTCTGTCTCCCAGCCTGGAGTGCAATGGCACGATATCAGGTCATAGCAACCTCCACCTCCCAGGCTGAAGCAATCTCCCCACCTCAGCCTCCTGAGTAGCTGGAACTACAGGCATGTGCCACCATGCCAGCTAATTTTTGTATTTTTTGTAGAGATAGGGTTTCACCATGTTGCCCAGGCTGGTGATTTTGTTGTCTATGCTTATAGACTAATAGGAATAATTATTTCTAAACATCTGATTTACATAGAGAGAGAGGATTAGTATTTTTTTTTTAAAAAACAAAATATATCTCAAAACACGTATGCTCATTAATAGTCACAACTTCATTACCTTTCTGCTGAGTCTGCGTTTAAGTTCCATTTTTGCTTCTTGTTCCTCTTCTTCATTCTTTTCTGTTTATTAAAGGAGGAAAGTCATGATGACAGTTACTATAGATGATTTTATAATCACAAAAGTATATCAAACACTTCACCAACATTGTTAAAAAGTTATCGAAAGATTTTGTAGAAAGGTTGATCATCTTATACACACACACATACACACACACACACACACACACACACGCTTTTTTTGTAGGACTGGTTTGCTTTACTAATTTTAAATGTTTTTGCTTCCTGATGTCTTGTTGTATTCTTAAAAAAACCACAGGAATGCCCATATTCTAATGAAAGCCCTCTATTGTTGATCATCTCATGGGCTTATAAGTACAATTTACCAGAATTCAGATGAAAATTTACTTCTGGATCTGTCCTTCATGTGAAAATCTGAGACATATTAAAAGAGCAAATTAGAACCATCCGATGCATGTCTGAGCTGCTGATTTCCACTCAAATCCAACCAAAATATTTGATTTGTCTTCCTTGGTTTCCATAGAAGCAGAATGTAAGCATTTCCTTGGACTTTGCTTTCAAACCAGAATGTTCTAAATGAGGTTATGATGTACTGTGGGTGGAAATTATTTATTTTCTTGTGACTTTGCCTTTCCAAAGTCTTCTCTTTCTCTAGTGATTCACCAAGTAGTACAATTTTATGCTGCCCAACAGATGGGATTTAAAGAAAAATGTCCAAAATTTTTAAAGAAATAAACACCCCTTCAGGTTTTGCTGGTTGTTGCTTACTTGAGGAACTTCTCTCTGTTGCTTCCTTTAGCTCATCATCTGTTCGATCAATGAGCATACATTTTGCTTCTTGGATACCGATGCTTATGAAAGATTGTGTTTTAGAAAGTGCTATTATGAACTCTTTTGAAGGAAAATAATGCTGTATAAAGGCTTGACTAAAAGGTTGAAAAAGGAAAGCTTCTTCTATTTGTTTATTTATTTATTTTTGTTTTTATTTTATTTTATTTTTTGAGACAGAGTCTTGCTCTGTCACCCAGGCTAGAGTGCAGTGGTGCGATCTTGGCTCACTGCAACCTCTGCCTCCCGGGTTCAATGAAAAAAAAAATTTTAATCCATGATAGGTGTGAAATATATTTATTTTAAAATTCAAATAGACTTCTTACAACTAAGACTATTTTTATTGTGAATAAAATATCAGTATTCAATATTTGCAACATCTATATTTGTTAGTTGAACAGGCTAAATTCTTCATCAGTTTTCCTTCTCTGAACAGGGAAAAGTTTCTATGTTCTTCTGAAATAATAACTTTAATGCATAAGAAAGAAAGAAGGTGATTAGACGACGAGTGAACATAAACTGTAATCACCCACAAGATAAGAAACAATGAGTTAATATCCTTTCATTTTGTGCCAAACAAATTTGGTTATAATTTAAATTTCTTCCTACGAAAGTACTGTAGGTTTTTAATTGCTTCACAAAATATATATCCTTTCATATCCTTAAAAATGCATACTTAGGTTCAAGGAATTACCTCATATGAGTTGGATAAAGCTTGTGGATTGTCAAAATACATAATAAACAAAAGCCACACTGTGGTTCCTGTGATTTAAACCAGAGCTTTAACAGGCGACGTGATAGTGAAAATAAAATTGTTGATATTGTTGATAAAAATTGATGATATTGTTAGTGATATTGATGACATTGTTAATAAAAACAAAAATATAATTCTTAAAACATTTTTGTCAACTCTTCCTGTACGGTGTTTATGCTATATTTTTAAGGTATTTTTCAAAGATTAAAAAATTGGATATAATACATCCCAAAGCTAATGAATGCTCCAGTCTTCATTAAATATGCAAAAATGACATTTCCTTGAAGGGAATATTTGATAGTTTTGTCTTATTAAGCATATTGTTCAACTAGTGCTACCAGTTAGGGAATTGAATTCATTTTTGACATCAGAAACTGACTTATTTACGTTTTCCATGTTCAAAATTGTACTTTTAGTGAAGTTAGGGGACGAGGGTGAGAGGTAGAAGGAAGCCAACATGACTGTTCCTCTGAACCTTTCCTTTTATTTTGCAGAGATGGGCTCTCCCTGTGTTGCCCAAGCTTGTCTTGATCTCCAGGACTCAAGTGATCCTCCCGCCTCAGCCTCCCAAGTAGCTGGGATTACCAGCATGAGCTACCATGACAGTTTCTCTGAATCTTATTAAACAGTCATTGTAAAATCTCTCATACAGTCAAGGTTAAACCTTAAACTCAGTATTTGAAAATTCACCAAGTTTTTTGCATGCTTCCTTCATTTTTTGATTCACTAGAGGACTAATTATAAAGTAGGATGTAAATCTTTCCGGTTAATTTAAACAGGCTGGAGGGATACTCATGAAGGAAGTGACATGGTTCATTGACAAATCTTGCTCTCAGTAACTCTCATCAGAATAGAGAGGGGTGAACATTTTGGACAAGCTGCAGGAAGCACTTCCGATAAATAAACAAATAATACATGTGGTTAAACAACAGCAAGCACCACAGGAAACCTGCCTGGCGAGCAATATTGCCCAGAGAATTTTGTGGATGAGCTAAAAGGAGAAGAAAGAAAAATACAAAAATATCAACAACTGGAATATTATCTTCTTGAGTTGTTAGTTCAGGTAAAATGGGTTCAAAAAGCCAAATTTTTTGTGGATTCATTTCTCTTTTTGTTTTTTACATGTTTCCATGTCGATATTTTGTTTTTTCAATTTTTGGTGGAGATGAGATCTCACTATATTGCCTAGGCTGGTCTCAAACTCCTGGCCTCAAGCAATTCTCCTGCCTTGGCCTTACAAGGCTTTGGGATTACAGGCATAAGCCACCTTACCTGGCCTCATGTGGGTGTTTTTAACAAATGAAAAAACACACATAAACTTCAAGTGCATTAAAAAAAGCTGGATCAACAGATGCATAGATATGTCATAAAGCAAGATGTTAATGATAGACTGACTATAGATGGCAGATATATATGGATTTACTGTAAAATTCTTTCAACTTTTCTTCATGTTTAAAAATTTTCATAATAAAATGTTGGGGAAAAATATATGCAGAACTCAATGGCTTAATTCATTTTTCTCTGTATAAGACATAGCTAGAATTACATTCTCAGCTAAATACATCACCTTTCTTAATTAGCAAAAGTTGACCTTTTAAGTACCAAAACTTGCTTTCTATTTTATCAGTTTTTAGGAACTGGTTCTAAAATGCATAACTAAATGTAATATAATATAATATAAATACATATATGTAATATGTCTTTTTTAACAAGCTCTAGTATCACCAAAATAATTAGGAAAGACATCAAGTAAGGACTAGTATGGTGCATGACACTAAGAAATATAATTTGTCCTGTGGTCACCAATTAAAACTAATGGCATTTATCGGCATCTGGACTCATGTTCATTAAACTAGTGATGGACTCTAAAAGTTGTTGAACGTTTAATTCTGTAAGTTAGTTTTCTAGTTTGTCAAGAAAAGATGACCTAGTTAGGGCCGGACACAGTGGCTTACAACCATAATCCCAGCACTTTGGGAGGCCGAGGTGGGTGAATTGCGAGGTCAGGAATTTGAGACCAGCCTGGCCAACACAGCAAAACCTTGTCTCTACTAAAAATACAAAAATTAGTCAGGTGTGGTGATACACACCTGTAGTCCCAGCTACTCAGGAGGCTGAGGCAGGAAAATCACTTGAACCCGAGAGGCGGAGGTTGCAGTGAGCCGAGATCGTGCCACTGCACTCCAGCCTGGGCAACAGAGCGAGGCTCTGTCTTGGGAAAAAAAAAAAAAGATGACCTAGTTAAAGTAACTGTCCTTAAAAACCACACCGTATCACACACTTTTCCACTGTTCTTGAACAAATGCTGAGATGAAACATACAAACATCAAACAAGAGCAATCTATGTGGAAGAACCAAGAAGCAAACGGGCTGAGTAGAGTGTTTCTAAGTTAGGCCATTCAGTTTCCTGTGACTGCTCAGGGAAAGATGACCTCTCCCAGTTTTCTTCCGCCTCCCTTGGCTATATAATACTGGGTCAGGAGATCATAAGCCAGTTATCAGCCTCTCCAGGCTGGAAATATGCCTCTGTTTCCAGAAATAAACATGCTTAGGTGAACTTAGAAGGAAGGAAAAAAAGGGCTGGAGTCGAATCTGAAGTGTCTCACTCTTTCCCAAACCTCTAGGAAAACAGGATATAAAGGCCAATGCAGCCCTTAAGATCAATGCACGGTAAGTTTCTAGATCTATGAAACAGTTCCTCCGACAGCCAAACTCTAGTGTGGTTTGGCACTATTTATCTCACAGGATCAAGAAACAATTACCCAAAATGTGCCCTTCCTTTCTTCTTCTAGGTATTAGAGCAGGCATCCAGTAAGACATAATCTTTGTGTTTTTTAGGAGCTTAGGGTCTACATTTGAGCATGCTTAAAAATTCAACAAGTATTTCCCAGGAACCTATCATGGAAAGCAATGAACCTTTCTGGTTTGTTTTGTTGTCAAAATTAGATGCTGCTTCTACTCTTCCTCAGCAAAGCAAAAACACAAAATTTTCCTACTTTTCTAGTCACAATTTTTTCCTGCTCCAAACTGGCTCTTCTATACATTAGTAGCCACTTAAGTTCATCCTGGGGCTGTATTCTAGTTATGTTCAAAAAAAGCCAGAAAAAAGCATTCCAAAGAAAGTGATCCCATAGACTGGGTGGATGGTAGTTGCTCTCACTGAATGGTAGTTCATATTCATTGTTGAATTGATTTTGTACTAACAACTGTAATACAATATGCTACTAAAATCTTTCTTCCCTAAAGGAAAGGAAGTATCTTGGATTGGAGAGGAGGGGTCTTCTAGTAGGCCAAGATAACTCGAAAAGCCTGGCTGACAAAGATTTCCCCCACACCATGGGTCACTACCATTGTAGCACTATTCAGAGTTTTACCCATCCCTCTTCTTTGATATTTCACACAATAAAAAGATCTTTTGAAACCAAGTTAACAATATATAAAACTACAGCTAGGCTCAATTTAAAAATATCTGTTTCTTAACTCACTGCAATGCCTGACCACATTGACACATGATAGCATGACAAACTGTATTTCTGTTAGTTTTATAGTTTTAACATACCAACTCCAATAAATACTACTGCAGGGACGAGTAAAAACTAAGGTCAAAGAGAACAGAGGGGAAAACAGAATGGGAAAATAAAGTAGGAAAATGAACGGAGAACGTTTTAGTGCTGAGAAATTATAAACAACTCAAGAAGGAAGCCGAGTTTTCACAACATAGGAAAATGCAATGGATTGAAAATTTTATTTTGAATTGAGTCATTTGTTAAACTAGCAACAAACTATTATTAAGAATATTAATATAGGAATGTTTGATTTGTTTCTTCGTGGATTCCTTTGGCCTTTTCTTTGACATTTATTTGCAAGAAGACCAGAGCATTCTTTTTCTATTTAATATTTGGGTGAAGGAATACATGGAATATATTTCATCTTTCTTAAACACAATTGTCATGACTATGACTCTGGTCTGGTGGGGGGATGTAAGGCTCAAAGCCATAAAATAAAATATGAAATTCAAGAAATTAAAAAAAATATATAAACAATTACATATAAATGTGACATAAATGGACTACTTCAATCCATTTTAAGTAAACGAATATATGATGGTTTCTTACTGATAAATGGATCATCTGTAGAGGCAGCTTGTTAATGATTACACAAGGAATCATTCTATAGTATAGAATACTCACGTTTTAGGATGTTTCTTTGCTCTAATTCTTCAGTTGTGGGCCTCTGGCTCAGCCTCCTATGATGACAAAAAGGATATATTACAGGTTAAAAATGAGGTACCCTAGTAGGAGACTTGAAATAAAACAACAAAGCTCTATTTTTCATGTTTTGAGAAATAAAAATCCATTTTTAAAGCTGCAAAATAAAAGTCTCTTTCCCATTAGTTTGGAGACTACAGATCATGGCTGAGGCTACTCACCGACTCCCATTACACAGTCTCCCTTCCTTTTAGCAACAGATTGGTCTCGATGTTAGATAGGTACCTGACTACAGACTTCTGCCTCCCTAGAAGCCAGGTATCGTGCTGTGACTGAGTTTCTGCAATGGGATGTGAGCAGAATTATGTTTGTTACTTCCCCTTCTCATCCTTAAAATGCCTGGGTGCATGTTCCCTTCTTTCTCTTTCCTTTTTCCACAGGCTAGAACTTCAGCCTGATGGTGTGAGCCAGCTTTGATCAGAGACCATCCAGGGGACGGGAGAGCAGCAAGACAGAAGGAACGTAGGAGCTAGGCTGACTTCAAGGAGCCGAGTTCCCAACCATGCTGGATGGCCCACCTACCTGGGGACGGTCATGTGAAAAAGAAATACACATACCTGGTTTGGACCACTATAGTTTTTGGTCTCTGTTACAGCTTAGCTTATAGCCTAATTAATATATAGCTCATTAGGGTCTAAAATAGGATGCTGTGCCTGGCTGGGTAATCTTAATATAAGATAGTACTACTAATTCTAAATGTTTATGGTTATGACAAAAATGGTAAGAAGAACTGAAATTAATACTTTAAATATCTCATTAATATGCTAAACTATGATCTTCATCAGAGCTACCTTGAAACTAACTTAATTGAGCAGACAAAAGAACTTGTTGAACATCTATCTCTATGCCAGCCAGGTTTTCTGCCATCCATGTCCCCATGTATCCTGTGCTACATATCTCTATTATGAATATACTGTACTCTATATTACGCCCACAATAAGCCACATTTCTTTTATCTATGGTGTCTCCTCCATCTGAATATCTTTCTCTCCTTTTCCATCTACTGAAATCTTACAGATGATTAAAATAATATCTTGAAGATATGTATTTGGCCTCTTCTGAAAGTGAGAATTAAAGGCTCCTGGTTCTTTGCTCATTTACAGCAATTTATACACAGACTATACATCTATTAAAGCACTTATCACACAGGCAGTTATAAAAATAATAATTACAGCTATCATTTAGTCATACTTTTAAAAATCCAGGTACTGTGCTAGGTGCTTAGCTTATATGATCTGGAATCCTCAAAGCAGTTCAGCAAGGTAGCACCCAGTTTCAGTTTTACAGATGAGGAAATGAGAGATTAACTAACCTGCCTAAGGTAAAACACTAGTAAATGCTAGCGCCAGGATTCATACTCAAATCCTTTGACTTAGATGTTTGTGCTTTTCACATGACCCCATCGTGCAACATACAATTCTGTCTCTCATTAGACATGGAGTTCTCTGTGGCTAGAACTGTGGGTGAACTATCTTTCAATGACAGTGCTTAGATGTGCTGTGTTTGTACAAAAATAATTCTGTAAAATTTACATTTTAATAACAGTGAAAACTTTGCTC